ATCCTGCACCCCTCCTTCGTCAAGAACTCAATGACAACACGTTGCTTCTGCTTGGAATCCATTATTCACCTGCAATGAAAAAGAAGAAGAAGATTACTATAGAGGAAAAGTTACTCCTTCTGTGGATTTTGGACATCCTGCACCCCTCCTTCATCATCAAGAACTCAATGATGGCACGTTGCTTCTGCTTGGAATCCATTATTTACCTGCAATGAAAAAGAAGAGGAGTTACTATGGAGGAAGAATTACTTTACCAATATGTGACATTTGAACAACCTAGCTCCTTCTTGCTCCTCTTCTTCTTTTTTTTCTTGCAGGCAAATAATGGCTTCTAAGCAGAAGCAACGTGTGGTCATTGAGTTCTTGATAAAGGAGGGATGCAGGATGTCCGCCATCCACAGAAGGCTACAGAATGTCTACAGAGATGATACTATCGAGAGCAATATCTTGCTATTGTTGACTTTGGTCAATGATGTCATCTCTGTAGACATTCTGTAGCCTTCTGTGGATGTTGGACATCCTGCATCCCTTCTTCGTCAAGAACTCAATGACGGCACGTTGCTTCTGCTTAGAAGCCATTATTTGCCTGCAAGAAAAAAGAAGAAGAGGAGCGAGAAGGAGCTAGGTTGTTCAAATTTCACATATTGGTAAAGTAACTCTTCCTCCATAGTAACTCCTCTTCTTTTTCATTGCAGGTAAATAATGGATTCCAAGCAGAAGCAACGTGCCATCATTGAGTTCTTGATGAAGGAAGGGTGCAGGATGTCCAAAATCCAACAGAATGTTTACAGAGATGACACCATTGACAAGAGTTAACAATGACAAGATATTGCTCTCGATAGTATCATCTTCATAAACATTCTTTAGCCTTTCTATACAGCCATTGCATTTTTTTTTTATTGCATCTGTTCCTCTACAGATTCACACTATATTATTGGGGGGCAAAGTTGAACGCCAACTACAGTTTTTGTCGCTTGGATTAAGCAGAAGGATCAGCCGGAAATCGGAAATTCACCATTTAAATGAAGTGGAAGATATTACAATGTAAAGGGCACGGTGTAGAAGAAGGAAGGCACGGAATACAGATGCAATAGGTAAATGTCAAGGCGCTTAATGAGAATCTTCTGTTCGGAAGCCAAGTACGACTTATTTTTTTTAATTAAAAATGATAATAACTTGCTAACCAAACTCCAAGTCATCGCCCGCAGATATATTGTCTATAAAACCTGATCTGATGTGTTTCAAGCCATTTACTCTGATGAGGCCTAGAGTACAGCAAAACCAATACAAAATATTATTTATTTAAAAGACGACAATTACCTATCAGGATAAGGATCATAGAAAACCAGGCATGACCGGTCTGATGCAAGCATTTTAAATATTCAGTCCGGACCCTTTTGCGACCCGAGATCAACGATGCCTAAATGCCGTGGACAGATTTAGCGGCATCAGCATACATCGGTTAACTCGGCAATAACTCTGTGACTAATTTGCACACCTAAAAAAAAGGATGCTATGTATTTTTTGAACCCCTTGATGCCGACGTAACACAAATACGCGGCCTCACAGAACTGGGCTTTTTTCTGTGGGGGCCGCATATTTGCCCGATTCCGGGTCACGTGATCACTGTGATAGCCTCTGATTGGCTATCACAGTGATCAGTCACTGTACAGTCCGGCCCCTTTGTTGTTTTTTTTTTCTCTCTATGAATGGAGGAGAGAGATACATTGTATCTCTCTAACTTCTGCCATAGAGGGGGGAAAAATATGTTTGTTAAAATAAAAATAAAAAATCAAATAAATAAATATAAAAAAATAAATGTTAAAATGCCTAGATCAAGGTTTGATCTAGTTCAGTGCCAGGGTAAGTGTTTGGGTCAAAGTCAGGGTCAAAGGTGAAGGTCAAAAGGCCAGGGTCAAAGGTCAGGATTTAAAAAAAATTTGGTGTCAGTTAGTGTGTTTTAGTTAAAAAAAAATAAAAGAGAAAAACAAAATGTGCACTATTGTTTCTGGGCTGTACTCTGGGTACAAACAACAAATAACATACACATGTATAGTATCTTTGCTATCGTCAAGAGCTGGAGAATTTATTTTGGATTGTTCTTTGGTGGTAGGTTATGGTAGAAATAAGAAACACACAGCTAAATAAAAAAATATATATTTTTTTTATTATTTTGGGCCAGTTTTCCTTTAATAATAAAAAAAATCAGGAGATATCCATTACCATTTACCACCAAATGAAAGCCCAATTTGTCCTGAAAAAAAAAAAACGGGTATAATTCACCCGGATGTACAAAGTAGTTGTGATGATATGTACGGTTTTTTTCTAACACATGTCAAAATTGTGCTTAGGCATTGAGATTTGTTTTACCCTTAGGCGTGAAGGGGTTAAAAAAAAATTAGGATTTTATTTGATACCCTGCTTAAATTAAAAAAAAAAAACTGTGCTATTTTTTTTTTATTATAGACTGACAAATGCATAAAAACGTGTATAATATATATATATGCTATGTATTTTTTTTTAAAAAATTAGGATTTTATTTAACACACTGCTTAAATTTAAAAAAAAAAAAAAAAAAAACTGTTCTTTTTTTTTTATTTTTTTTTTTAATTATAGACTTACAAATGCATAAAAACATGTGTATAATATATATATGCTATGTATTTTTTTTTAAAAATTAGGTTTTATTTGATACACTGCTTAAATTTAAAATTTTTTAAAAAATTTTAATTATAGACTTACAAATGCATAAAAATGTGTATAATATATATATATGCTATGTATTTTTTTTCATTTTAAAATTAGGATTTTATTTGATACACTGCTTAAATTAAAAAAAAAACTGCTCTGTTTTTATAAATTATAGACTGCCAAATGCGTAAAAACGTGTGTATAGCATATATACAGTTGCAAGAAAAAGTATGTGAACCCCTTGGGATTACGTGGAGTTTTGCATGAATTGGGCATAAAATGTGCTCTGAACGTCATCTAAGTCACAACAATAGAAGAACACAGTCTGCTGAACATAATACTACACAAACATTAGATGTTGCCATGGTTTAATTGCACATAACATGTAAACATTCACAGTGCAGGGAGGAAAAAGTATGTGAACCTTTAGACTTAATAACTGGTTGACCCTCCTTTGGCAGCAATAACCTCAACCAAACGTTTCCTGTAGTTGCAGATCAGACCTGCACAACGATCTGGAGTCATTTTGGACCACTCCTCTTCACAAAGCTCTTTCAGTGTAGCACTATTCTTGGGATGTCTGGTGTGAATCGCTCTCTTAAGGTCATGCCACAGCATTTCAATCGGGTTGAGGTCAGGACTCTGACTGGGCCACTCAAGAAGGCGTATTCTGTGCTGTTGCAGCCATTGTTTTGTTGAATTACTTGTATGCTTTGGGTCATTGTCCTGCATCACCCATCCTCTGCGGAGCTTCAGTTGGCGGACAGATGGTCGTACGTTTTCCTGCAAAATGTCTTGATAAACTCTGGAATTCGTTTTCCCATCAATGACAACAATCCGTCCAGGCCCTGAGGCAGCAAAGCAGCCCCAAACCATGATGCTCCCTCCGCCATGTTTCACAGTGGGGATGAGGTTTTGATGTTGGTGTGCTGTGCCTTTTTTTCTCCACACATAGTGTTGTGTGTTCTTCCCAAACAACTCAATCTTGGTTTCATCTGCCCACAGTATATTTTGCCAGTAGTGCTGTGGAACATCCAGGTGCTCTTTTGCAAACTTCAAACGTGCTGCACTATTCTTTTTGGACAGCAATGGCTTCCTCCGTGGTGTCCTCCCATGTACTCCATTCTTGTTTAATGTTTTCCTTATTGTAGATGTGTCAACAAAAATGTTAGCATGTGCCAGAGATTTCTGTAGGTCTTTAGCTGACACTCTGGGATTCTTCTTTACCTCCTGAAGCATTCTGCGCTGTGCTCTTGCAGTCATTTTTACAGGACGACCACGCCTAGGGAGAGTAGCAACAGTGCTAAACTTTCTCCATTTGTAGACAGTGTGTCTTACCGTGGACACATGAACATCAAGGCTTTTGGAGATACTTTTGTAACCCTTTCCAGCTTCATGCAAGTCAACAATTCTTGATCGTAGGTCTTCTGAGAGCTCTTTTCTGCGAGGCATGGTTCACATCAGACAGTGCTTCTTGAAACCAGTAAACCCAAAACAGGTGTGTGTTTTTTAAGGGCAGGACAGCTGTCAGCAACACATCCAATATCATCACACTGATTGGAGTCAAGGTTGGCTCACTCCTGGCTCCAATTAGCTCTGGGAGAAGTCATTAAGCTAGGGCCTCACATACTTTTTCCTCCCTGCACTGTGAATGTTTACATGTTATGTGCAATTAAACCATGGCAACATCTAATGTTTGTGTAGTATTATGTTCAGCAGACTGTGTTCTTCTATTGTTGTGACTTAGATGACGTTCAGAGCACATTTTATGCCCAATTCATGCAAAACTCCACGTAATCCCAAGGGGTTCACATACTTTTTCTTGCAACTGTATATATATATTTATTTATTATTAATATTAAAAAGATAATAAGTTAAACTGAGAGAACAGGGGTTGGACAAAATTATGGAAATGCCAGGTAAAAGAACAAAATGGTTACCAAATATGGTGTTGGACTTCCTTTGGCATCCAAGATTGCCTGAATTCTCATGGGAATTGCCAAATAGAAGTCTTGGTGGTGGATGATGGGATCTGATACCACTCTTCATGCAAAAATCGCTCCAGTTCTTGCAGAGATGCTGGAGGTGGAAAATGAACCCAAACCTTCTCCAAAATTGACCATAGTGGCTCTATGATATTGAGGGCGACTGCGGCGCCCAGAGAAAGTGAAAGACTTCGTCTGCATGATAATCAAACCACGATTTGACAACACCAGCTGTGGGAATCGCCCATTATCGTCTTGGTAAATGGTTGTCTTTGGTAAACAATGCCTGCACCATGGGGTGCACCAGGGACGGACTGACAACTCATGGGGCCCCCGGGCAATAGGGGATCATGGGGCCCCTGTGTCCTTGCCCAAACTCAAAAAAGCCTATGAAAAAGGTACCATGGGCATCTCATGGGGCCCCCTACTGACCCCCCTCGGGCAGTTTCCAAATGGTCAGTCCGCCCCTGGGGTGCACATGGTCAGAAAAAACTTGTACATAGTCGCTGGCAGTACCTTTCAAGGTGTTGATGGGGCCTACAGAATACCAAGACATGGCTGCCCAAACCATGATTGAACCGCCACCATGCTTTACCGTTGGCACAAGACAGTCCTGGTCGTACACTTGGGCCGGTGTTCGTCACACATGAATATGTCCGGTGGTTGGGAACAGTGTGAAGCTCGATTCATGGGACCATGTTACGGTCTTCTATTGATTGATAGTCCACCATTTATGGGTGTTGCACCACTCTCTTCTCTTCTGAGCATTAATATCGGTCACTAGTGGTTTGGCAAATGCCGGTCACCTGCGAATGTTCTGCTTATGGAGTTCCCTCCGCACAGTTTTTTTGTGGACATTTGGAAGACTGAGATTGAGCTCTCCAGTTGTTTTCCTATTCCGGGTCACAATCCTGCGCAATGTCCTTCTGTCTCTTTCGGTCAATTGACCATTACGCTCATCAGACGGAAACTGTATATGCCGCCATAACCTTTGATCCTGGACCTCTCAGCACGGCCAATAAATCGGCAACTTCAGCCATAGCTAAGCGGATCCAACAATTTGCCCTCTTTAAAGCTCAGTAAGCTCTGAAAAGACTCCGTATTATTAGCAGCGCACGCAACGAATGAGGAAAGTGAGGCTTCCCACCTGTTAGCTGGGTGTCTCATCACACAGCAGAAGCAAAATTATGTCACATCCATTCCGCTTTCAATACGAAACATGTCGTCACTTTTACACCTGCAAATCGTGTCATGTTTTCGTATTTTTGGCCAACTCCTGTAGATAAAGGCTGATATATGTATGTGTGTATTTATAAATATACATACAGGCGTACGTCGGTTTATGAATTTAATTAGTTCTTCAGGAATTTTTGTATTCCGAAAAATTTGTAAACCGAAACGTGGTTTCCCATAGGAATGCATTGAAAACCAATTAATCCGTTCCGGAGGTCAGAAAAAAGTAAAAGAAAAAGTCTTTTATCTGTTCAAAACTCTTTATAAAGTGCACTTTAAAGGCATAAATACTGTACATGTACATGATAAAAAATTTATTTGTAAATGCATTGAAAATCAATTAATCCATTCCAGAGGTCAGAAAAAAGTAAAAAAAAGTTTTATCTGTTGAAAACTCTTTATAAAGTGCACTTTAAAGGCATAAATACTGTACAGGGACATGATTTAAAAAACTTTGTATATGTATTAATCCGTTCGTATTGCGAAAAAAATTTGTCAACCGAGCCATTATTTTCAATGGAATCGTAAACCAAAAATTACTTTAACCGATGCATGCGTGTATATATATATATTTTTTTCATTTCTGTTCTTAAATTTAATTTTTATATAATTTTTTTTTTTAAAATCGCAGTAGTATTTGACAGTTACAGTATTAAACAAATACATAGGCTAAATTTTAATATTTTTTGACTATTTTAATAATGAAATTGTATCCGGCGATTACATTAGTAAACAAATACACACTGCCACCTTCAGGCTGCACTTGCGACTGCAGGCTGAAGGCTTTTATTGTCAGCGAAGTCTCCAGCCTGCCCTTTGGATCCTCACGATCAGGAACTGATGCTCGGATTGGTTTCTGATTGTTAGTGGGGACCACGAGCTGTCAGAGATAGCAGAGTTTGAAAGCTAGCAGTCGTGCAAAGTAAAAGTTTGCTAGCCCTCAAAGGAACAATGTTTTTTTTTTTTTCCCATGTGCGTACTGTGGAAGACCAGATATAGTGAATGCCAGGTCCGGGGAGAGCGGACATAGTGAATGCAGGGTCCGAGGAGAGCGGATATAGTGAATGCAGGGTCCGGGGAGAGCGGACATAGTGAATGCAGGGTCCGAGGAGAGCGGATATAGTGAATGCAGGGTCTGGGGAGAGCAGACATAGTGAATGCAGGGTCCGAGGAGAGCGGATATAGTGAATGCAGGGTCCGGGGAGACCGGATATAGTGAATGCAGGGTCCGGGGAGAGTGGATATAGTGAATGCAGGGTCCAGGGAGACCAGATATAGTGAATGCCGGGGTCGGGGAGAGCGGATATAGTGAATGCAGGGTCCGGGGAGACCAGATATAGTGAATGCAGGGTCTGGGGAGACCGGATATAGTGAATGCAGGGTCCGGGGAGACCAGATATAGTGAATGCAGGGTCTGGGGAGACCGGATATAGTGAATGCAGGGTCCGGGGAGACCAGATATAGTGAATGCAGGGTCCGGGGAGAGCAGATATAGTGAATGCAGGGTCTGGGGGAGACCAGATATAGTGAATGCAGGGTCCGGGGAGAGCAGTTATAGTGAATGCAGGGTCCGGGGAGACCAGATATAGTGAATGCACAGGGTCTGGGGAGACCGGATATAGTGAAAACAGGGTCCGTGGAGAGCGGATATAGTGAATGCAGGGTCCAGGGAGACCATATATTATGAATGCAGGGTCTGGGGAGACCGGATATAGTGAATGCAGGATCCGGGGAGAGCGGATATAGTGAATGCAGGGTCCGGGGAGACCAGATATAGTGAATGCAGGGTCCAGGGAGACCAGATATATGCAGGGTCCTGGGATTGGGAACACTTTATATAGCCCTCTTGTGCACTTTCCTTTTTGTTATGTTCTGCTTTCTCGGGTACTGTTGCAGGGTGAGTCAGTTGGCAATGCAGGGACTGTTGGGCTTCAAGAGACCCCATACCTCTCTGAAAAGCTTAAAAAGAACCCGTGGCTTAGGTTATGTATATTCATTTTTTAAACATATTCATAACAAGCAGTAAAGCTTTAAAACAAGCTCTCATTGACCTTTGTAACAGCAGTCACCATGGAGCAACCCATTCTCAAATTTCACAGTAGAAGTGCAGAAGTGATTCTCTCAGTAGCTCAACTTAGGCCGGCCATAAATGGGTAGAAATTTGACCGATTTTTCAGCCGAAAATCAGACCTAAGAATAATCGGCTGATTTTCGCTCTGTTAGTGGGTCAACGGCACCAGCCGATTTTCATGGTTCCTCCCCTTTTCGTTGATCGGGCATATTGGAAAATTTGTGAAAAATTACCCATTTTCGACTCAATGATGGTCAAATCGTACAATCGTTTTTCTGAAAAGAATATACGCATGAGCCATGACCTGGAAGGAACAAAAGTTTCTCCTGTTATATGGGGTGAACTTTATGACTTGGATGACTTTATGACTTGGATTTTTTAAATCATTGATGGCACAATTGGATTACTGAGCGAACAACATTTTCAATTTTGTGGACGGAAATTGTAGCTCTAAGTCCAAATGAGGGATCAAAAGGCTGGAAGGCTGCTGAGTCGTAATTGAGAGTTGGAACAGGGCAGGTTGAATTGCTGGGAGAACAACTCAAACGACTTCAGAACATCTGGACTTTCCTTGCGAGATTTTTTTTCTCAATTCTGATGGTGTCACCAGGACCAAAAGTCAAGAGAGAGGATATCGCAAGGAAAACAACTTATTTTTTTAGTAGACCACAAAAGGGTTAGAACTTCTCAGATTCATACAGAATTTATTGTTTTCTTCGTCCCTGTGATGGAAATTCCCTTGCCTCACTGGGACAGGAAGTCAGAAGGAATTTTCTCAATGGGAACATTCTCCTCTGGACCGACTGCTGGTATAGGATTCTGTCTATGAGGGCTTTTCTATGTTTTTGGTTGTCTTTTTTCGACATTACGAAATACAGTTTAGGTAATAGTTAACTTTAATATTTTGCTTAAGTGTTTAAATAATTTCAAATTGCAACTCGGTTTCTGATGGAACATAGAAAATCCAGTAAGAGTCCCTTACACAGGTGGAGGAAGTGGACTGCAGTTGGGCAATCCATTCTCATCAATGGCAGTAAGGTCACATCGACACCAATCTTCGATGACTTCTCCCTTCCCAGAACACCAGTATAAGCTCATAAATGCGTTTTTGAACACCTACGAAAAGGTAAAAAACATCATTACGATACCTGAAAAAAAATTGTTTTTAGCACATTCACATCGTCAAAATGCTCACAAAATGGTAAAATTACAGCTTTAGTGGCTATGGCTCTGGCCAGCACAATGTAATGGGTGGAGCTGCCCACTGTGCTCAGTTTCTATATAGTTTCAAAACTTGGACTTTTATTTATTTCAACTTTTTAGATTTAATAAAATCAAGTGAACATAAATAAAATAAAAATTCTCCCCCTCCTCTCTTTGACATTACTGGCCCAGGACAACAAACATGTAGACTGGTGTCCATCAGCTTTGGATCTGTTGCTAAGGGCATGCCCCATTGACAGGGGGACACCAAACTCTTTGGCTAGCCCTAAGACAAGATCTTGGAGAATGTTGAGTAGAGGTAAGAAGCTGTTTCAGCTCTGTGCAGGGCCATCTTCTCATGAGATTTGAGCTGCTCAATGCTCTTCGAGATCTGTCCAGGAGGAAGATGGCACCACCCTTGACAAGGTCCCACTGGTACACAATGCAATACACCTTTTTTCTTTAGGGGCTAAAAAAGTACATTGCATTGTGTACCTGAATGCCCTCCTTCAGTGGGACCTTGTCAAGGGTGGTGCCATCTTCCTCCGATAGAGATCTATTTCAGCTTTTTAAATTTAATAAAATCAAGTTAACATTAATAAAAATGATCCCCCTCCTCTCTTTGACATTACTGGCCCAGGACAACAGGCATGTAGACTGGTATCTCCCTGTCAATGGGGCATGCCCTTAGCAAAAACTCCAAAGCTGATGGACACCAAATTCTTTGGCTAGCCCCAAGAAAAAGATCTTGGAGAATGTTGAGTAGAGGTGAGAAGCTGTTTCAGCTCTGTGCAGGGCCATCTTCTCATGAGATCTGAGCTGCTCAACACTCTTCGAGAGCTGTCCAGGAGGAAGATTTCACCACCCTTGACAAGGTGCCACTGGAGGAGTGCATTCAGGTACACAATGCAATGTACTTTTTTACCCCCTAAAGAAAAAATGTGTATTGCATTGTGTACCTGAATGCACTC